TTTAGAATTCCCTCCAGATGTATGCCCAGGAGTGGGACTGCTGGAGCATATGACTCCATTTTTAGTTTTTAAAGGAATCTCCATACTGTTTTCTATAGTGGCTGCACCAATTTACATTTGTGTGGGGAATTTTTAGTGCCACTGATTGACCCGAGATGGTGGAGGGCACAGGCGAAGGCTGGTTACCTACCCTTAGTTCTGAACCGCCTGCACCTGTGGGCTGGTGCCTGGCTTACAGCATGAAGCAGTGACGCAAGATGCTAAACAAAGAGGCACCCGATTAATGGAGTAGGATGAACACCGGAACCTGAAGGTGACACCCACCACCAACAGGGGCATGGCTCCAACAAAGTCCATTGGCCACATGGCTTTTCCTATTCTGCTGGTAAAGCAAAAGCTCTGGCCAGTTCCTTGAGAAATTACCTCTAAGTCAAAATCTTGGGAAAGTCTACGACTTTCACTGTCACCCAAAGGTCCTCTTCCTCTGGGATGCAGACTCTAACCCAGGTCTTAGAAACTTTCCTGGGGACCTCCTTTCCAGATTCCGGGCAGCTTTTCTGAATCAGGTAGAGAAGGAGACCAAAGAGCCAGACTCTAGGGCTGCCCTCAGCTTCTACATTGGAAAATGAATGTGGGCATTAAGGCACTTGCAACGGGCCTGATCCTCAGCCACATGGACAGCTCTCCGGTTCAGAGCAGTGTTTTGTGTTCTCTAAGAGACGAGATTGTCCCCCTCACTTAGTAACAGGTGTAACAGCATTTATACCTGTGGGATGAAGTTTTTCCCCATCACCACAAAGGGGAGAGCCATGTTTTCCACCTGGGGGTACACTTATGGCATAAAAGTTAGTCCAGCCTTGAAGAACCAAGGATGTCGGGGTGACAGTGCAGAAGGCCATCTGGGTCACTTCACACGTGACTTCAAGTAACTCAGGCCTCGTCCTTCTGTGAGCCTGATTTCCAGGTGCCCTTTGTAGATGCTGGGAGCATTTGTGACAACTCAGAGTTGTGGCCCAGTCCTTCCTGTCCCCCACTGGCCTATGCTGTGCCATGGCTGTGGCGCTAAGTGTGACATAAGACTCTCTAAGGACAGATCAAACATGAACTACTTAGTATTCACGAGTGAGCTCTTCTTTTGGCCAAAAGCTGGAACAACGTGGCTCCAGGTGAGAGTTTATGAGCTGCCTGGAGAATGCTAAGTTGGCGACCACTGCTTGGGTCAGAGCTTCAACCAGCCGGGGTTCCCATCAGCATCTTAGAAACTGTGAGGACCAAAAATGTCAAAGG